ATTCTGGGAGTTGAAGTCCACAAGTCTTAAAGCTGTAAAGATGAAAAAGTGGTATTTTAAAAGTAGAATAAAATAGTTATGCGCTTTAAACTTGCCAAGTTTGAAGACCCTTGAGACCTGGCTCTAACGTAGCAATCCGAAGGACCTACGAGTTCCATCTTTGCAATGCTTCAGTTTTTATCGCGACGTTCTCTCGGTTTTTCCACTCTCCACCCTGTAGTTGAATTCTCACCTCTGCGAATACTTCCGCATTAGTTTTCGAATTTTATATTTTGCATTGCAGAAGCGTAAGGAGAGGGGTGTGAACGTTTTGATGGAAAGTGGAAACAAAGGGATCTAGGAAACGTGGTGTGCGGATTGTTCTCTTCCTGTTTACTCTGGAGAACATCTCAGGGAATTAAGTGAATTTGCGCTAAATAACCGAGCGTAGGTTATGGAATTCTGTAGAAACGTCCTTGGAGCATAGTTTAGCAGCCTTCAGAAAACGTGCTTCTACATGCATCACAGTTGGCGGCAAGTCTTAACACGACTTTTCTTGCCTCTCCACGTCAGCTGATGGACAGTTAATTGTGAACGGAATCCGTTTGCCCCAAATCCGTCTCATTTCCCCTTCCCAGTACTGGCTGCTGATCGCCGTCTAGCGCAAACAATGCTTGAGGTGAAGAAAGAAGCCTTTGGTGAATTGCCTCTTGGCGGAGGAACCGTGGAAAAATTCCTGCTCACATCCGACACAGTCAAAGTGGAAATCATATCCTTAGGCTGCATAATCACCTCCTTGAAGACTAAAGACAGAGGCGGAAAGTTTTCAGACATTGTTCTAGGCTTTGATCATTTGGAAGGTGGGTTTGGTTGAACTTTATAAGATTATTTACAAAGGGGAATTCTAATCTGCTTTCAGTTAATTCAGGGGTCCCCAAACATGGCAACTTTAAGGTTTGTGGACTTCAACTTCCAGCTATGCTATGCTGGAGACTTCTGGGAGTTGAAGTCCACAAGTCTTAAAGTTGCCAAGTTTGGAGACCTAATGTGCTTTTTTGAGGTTCCTCCTAAAGACTTAAACCAAGAGGAGGCCTGGCACACAGATTTTAGCAGTTTCTGTAGAACCAGTGACACTTGATCTACAAGAGAAAGTTCCACCTATCTGTAGAGGCATAGGTAGAATTTGCAGCTTTGGTTACTAGATATATATTACAGTAGATGTGATCAAAGATATTTTTATGGTGGGGAAGGGAATTCATAAAATTGAGTCAAGTGTGATTGAATACTAGATATGAGTCTAAGTGGAAAGGAATGAAACAAAACAGGGAATCCTGATCTTTTCAGTTACATTTCATTCTCATTGCATTTAAATCATTGAAGTTTTTTCACAAGTAGCTGCCTAATTGAGTTTGTTTTCATTTATGGAAGGAACCCAGCCCCCAAATTGTTCTTGCTTCACAGATGAGTAATTCAGGCACTCAAGTTCTTGTTTTGAAATGTTTGACTTCACAAATTTAAGGAACACATAGCTGTGGTTTCTTTGTGCTTAATTTCATAAGCATGTAGTAACATAATTGAGAAATTGAATTCTTCCCCTTACACAGTTCTCTCTTCTGTATTAAACTTCTCTATTAAGCCACATTCAGGCAACCAGCTAAAGTTTAATAGTAGATTAAGCGTAGTAGAAGTGTTCCACTGCTGGTTGTCTCTCTGATATGTGCTGCTCTTTTAACATTTTTTGCAAGCTTACCTGAGGCGGTGTATGCCATATTAATTCAGAGTAGTTCCAATATGGCACAGACTCTAACAGATAGTTAAGACTGCAGAAAGAATAATTCCAACCATAGAACACCTGTATATTGTGTAGGTCAGAAGGTGGGCTGAGAAGATACCTCCAGAATCCTCATATCTTGGACATAAACTGATTCAACTCCTCCTTTTGGGATGGTGCTACAAGGCATTGCAGGGCAAAACAACTAGACACAGGGATGTCCCAAAGGTGCTTTTTCAAAAGGCAACCGGACTTTCTTTGTTTTTCATTGAAGACATATTGCTTCTCATCCAAGAAGCTTCTTCAGTTCCTTTTGAAAAAGCACCTTTGGAACTACCCAAAGGCCTGGATGACTGAGAATCTCTGTAGACATTTAGACACAGGGACAGGTTTTTCCCTCAGACTGAGGGAAAAGTTTATGTCCAAGATATGAGGATTCTGGAGGTATCTTCAGATACCTTCAGGCTTTGAAGAGTTTATATTTCTGCTGAATACCTAATTCTCACAGTGGTGTCTAATGTCTATGTATATTTACCCAAGTAGTATGGCTGTAGCATTATTATTTATCCTTGTTTTTATCCTTACAACTCCCTTTTATTATTATTATTATGATTGTGATTGTGATTATGATTGTCATTATTCTATTGCTTTGCACATACTCTGCACCGGAGACAAATTCCTAGTGTATCTAGTCACACTTGGCCAAATAAAGTATTCAGTTCAATATGTGATTTGAGGAAGTTGATATATGAAATCAAAGCCAGACACTAGTTTTACATTTTGGTTCCTGCAGCTTAGAGTGGGAACTGCCCCAATTTAAAATGTAGTGACAGGTAAACCTTGAAGTTTGGTTGAAGTCCTATCAACAACAGGTGGTAAAACCACAACATATATTATCACGTTAATTTACTTCAAAGACTATACGAAGAGAACAATTTGCATAAGAGCTGAGTTCTTCTGAGTCAACAACTTCCCTATGGATCAATTCAGTTCACAAATTGGTACAGTCCAGTTCTTTTAATTAACTATAGTAATTTTCACAAGTGTGTTTCATTTTTATAGGAAGGTAAAAGACTTCCCTGGTATCTTTAGCTGAGAGAATGCTGTTTCCCTTTGTTTCCCACTATCCTAAGCTTGAAAATTAGAGAAGGAAATCAAAGGTTTCAAATCAAATACAGTCAATTGTATTCACACTATTTGGGTAACATGGAAATTATAGCCCAATACATTTGGATGGCTGTAGTGATTCTGCCCATCCTGGAAGTATGTAGTTATCAATCAGCAGTTCCCATATTGTGTGTTAGAAATGGGAATATTTCAAAGCCTAGTAAAGACTGAAACATGTATTGGCTAACTGCTGTTTGGAGCTGTAGTGATTAAATCCATGATAAGCTACATACCAAGGTAAATATTTTTGAGGACCATAAGAAATGAAACATTATGAAAATAAGCTTCATTAATCATATCTGATGGAAGTAATCTAATCCATAAAAGCATATGCCAGAATCATGTAGTTAGCCTTTAAGACCCAATTAGATTGTTTTTCTTGAACCAGATTAACATAGCTACACTACTAGAAACAGAATTGTATTTTGATAATCTTTCTTTTGCAATGATTGTTTGGTAGCAACTATGGCTTTCCATTGCAAGAAAGACAGTTGCATTCTTTCATAATGATTAACAAATATACTTTTGTTTCCTATCATGTAAAAAGGAAGAAATTCCACTGTTTATTACACTCCAAAGTGAGTTTAATGCAGAAAAGGTGCTCATTACTGTTCTTAAAATTATCCTAGCATTATTTATAATTAATACATAAAATGACATTTTCAAAGGGAAGATTTCAAATGCTTAAAGATACTATTAATCTTGTAGACACCATTTATCTATTTTTTATCATTTTTAGTTCTGATATGGTTTCATAAAATAGCTTATCACAAAAAGATGTTGTTGTTGCTGTTAATCTTCAGTTCAGAGTCTGGAACTTACTATGAATATGATTGATATGATATCTCATGCGACTCCCAACAAATTTGGGTTGTAGCCAGGCAATATTACTGAGAAGATGATAGATGGCATTTTTAATCAATAGAACCCAGAGTGTTCCAACCCTGCTAGACTAAAATGGCTGTGCAGACACTATGGGAGATGGATGTCAAACTAGCTGCGTCACATTGCCATTCCAGTGTTTTTTCCCTTTGCGGAGCTGGGGTGGGCATGGCCTGCACGTGACGCATCTGGCCTGCAAGCTGCCAATTTGACCCCCTCAAGTAACCAGGCCTCAAACTATCACCTTGCATCGCACCTGGAAGAAAACTGGAAACCAGAGCAGTTTATGAAACAGAGGTGTTACATGGACATACCAAGGCATGTCCTTCACTCCCACACTTCTACATTCCAAACACATGCAGTCTCCAGGCATTAGGATAAAACATGAAGAGTTTACTTGGGCAGTTGGGGTTGCAATATATAATTGGGCATCATCAACAGACAGATGATATCAAATCCCAAACCAGCAAAGGAACACATCTAGCAGTTTCAGGTATCTATTGAAAAGGTGAGACAGAATACAACCCTGTAGTATCCCACTACAGAGTGATCTCTTCCCCTCCACCAACACCACTGGAATCAGTTCTGGAGAAAGGAAGAGAATCCATTAAAAAAAAAAACTTCAAAACAAACTTGGGTAAATGAAAATGTGCTTTTTGAATAATTTATATTTTTTCTTGTTGCTTCTTTGACTTATGTTTATATATAGTATAGAGTTGCTCTTTGTCAAAAACATGCACTTCTATGTTTACCCCCCCCCCTTTTTTTTTTTTTACAGAAGGGTACTAAATTAAGCTGAAAAAGAGTGGCTGGCCCAAATATGTGGATCTGAATTCAATACTGCAGTACATTAACAGACAGCAGATTTCTCAATCATGACAGCCTTAAGCTGTATGGAGTTCAACTCCCAGAATTCCCTAGCCAGAATATTGGCTGAAGAATTCTGGGAGTTGAAGTCCACATGGCTTAAAACTGCCAAGGTTGACAAACGCTGCCAGTGTACAATCCAATAAGTATTAACTTCAGGGTAGAAGTTCTTTGCGCAGAGCTCTTTGCAGACATGGCACTGGCACCTCCATTGAAATAAATGGACATCTTAATAAAGAAGTACCTTCTTTCATAAGATATTGCTCAATTAAGATTTATTGGGTAACACACCAAGGAAAGAAATGCTCTCTCAAATGGTTTTTAATTTTGACTAGCTTTACACTAAATTCTAAAATGTATATTATCCTGCTCCCTTTTATTCTCTTTCTTAGGATACCTCAGCGAGCACCCCTATTTTGGAGCTGCCATTGGACGAGTTGCTAATAGAATTGCCAAAGGGAAATTTACAGTGGAAGGACATGAATACCAGCTGGCCATCAATGACGGCTCCAACAGTTTGCATGGAGGAGTCAAAGGGTTTGACAAGGTAGATCCGCTAGTGAAGTTAATGATAAATTAGACAGAAGGTATTATTCTGTTGTTTTTTTCATTGTGTGGAATAATCAAGCTGGATTTTACTTTGTTAGGCAATGGTGCCAGATACCAGTGTATACAGGCAACTCTAGCAATACAAGTTCCTACAAATCCTTTTGATCAAAATACACACAAAATTGACATGTAGTCTAAACTCTTCCATGTCTAGTAAGGAAGACTAGTGGGAAGTCTGAGCAAAAGCAACTTCTCTCCTCTTATGCAAAAGCAAGGGAGACTTTTGTTCTTAGAATCTTGCCAAGAGCAGCAGCTATTTGTGGGGTGAAATTTGTGGGGGTGGAATCCCAGTATCCCCATTTACTCCTATCTTACTCTTCTATTCTTTGGCCAGTTGCTTATCCTTGTCCTTTTGTTCCATAGTTCTTACATTCATTGAGAAGTCTTTGATAACAGACTTTATGAAAGGCCAGTTTATTCATTTCATGTCATTTTCACATTCTACATCATATCACCTTAAGGACTGGGTAGTTGAAAATCTAAGGAGATTTTCTTTTTTGAAAATTCCTAGGAGATGATGTCAATTCGCTTGTCCTTGTATACATGTTTATTAACATCGTCAACCGCCCCCCCCCCCGATTAATTAGATAGGGCCTTCCCTTAGTTAAGCCATGTTGTGTTATCCTTGAGCAAGCCCTGTCTGTGTCTTCAAATGTTTGGTAATTTTATCTTTAAGAGCAGTGTCCATTATTTTCCTCATAAATCTGGATTGCTATTACTGTTAATCTTCTCATCGTTCCTATCAGCCATCTCCTCCCACTTATGACTTTGTAACTTTGTTGCTTGTATCCTTATGATTTATATTGTTTCCTAGTATGATTTGATTGCTTAATTTTACCCTATGGCTATCATTAAGTGTTGTACCTTATGATTATTGACGAATGTATCTTTTCTTTTTATGTACATTGAGAGCATATGCACCAAAGACAAATTCCTTGTGTATCCAATCACACTTGGCCAATAAAGAATTCTATTCTGTTCTGTTCTGTTCTGTTCTGTTCTGTTCTGTTCTATTCTAGGTTATCTGGTTCCCTGAAATCCTACCAGATGGTGTCCGCTTTTTCAGAATAAGTCCAGATGGTGAAGAGGGATATCCTGGTGAGCTGAAAGTGTGGATATCATATACCCTCAAGGATGAGGAGTTAACAATTAATTACAGAGCTCAAACTAGTAAGGCTACACCGGTCAATCTAACAAACCATGCTTATTTCAATCTTGGAGGTCAGGTAAGTGACTTTCATAACCATTACGGATATTCCCTAACGCTAACCATTTGAAGTTATTCTGGTGCTGAAGGAAGGGATTTATGGCTGGTCCTCCAAATTTGATAACACTTTCTTTCTTATAAGTGGTTTTGGGTAATGTAAAAAAAAGGCTTGGGAAGCACTGGTATAGGGGGTGAAGAGTTACTACAAATCTGCCTCTACTTCTATGATGAAGGTTGGAAGTAACATATTTTTCTTTATTTTGTTCTTTTGTTCTTTTTTATTTTTAAGTTTAGATTGTATCAGATTTTACCATTGTAACAAACTTCATAATGAAAAATATATTAAAAATGAGATCCATGTCAGAACAATATTGTCTTTCTGTATCTAGTATTATAGTATTTTTTGTTTTTATAACTCAGGGCTCATCTAATATCTATGACCATGAATTTACAATAGAGGCAGATTGTTACTTGCCACTGGATGAAACTCTGATTCCAACAGGTTGGTTAATCTGAGTGCCTTTGAAAGTGAAGCTGTATTCTAGGGAGAAAAATACTGGGCTTGTTATAAATTAAAGATCCTGCTTCCAAATTACCATTTAACAGTTTATATAATATGCTAACTAAATTTATGGGGGAATTGTTGAGATAATGACTGTCAAATTTATTGTAACATTACAGAAATTAGAACACATATACGTATATGTGTATATATATTTTCTCTTTGCTGTGGATCTGCAGAACTAGGAATGCAGTCTTTGGTTCCCAGATGGGCAGATATTCAGCAGTTTTCCTTTTCAAAACAAATACAAAAAATGTTGTCACATTTTAGAGCAGGGCTCTCAAACTCACAGCTCATGGGCCACATACGTCACATGTTGGCCATGCCTGGTTTAGTGAAGGGGGAAAAAGTCCCGATATGTCACAGTGTATTTAGTGCAGGGATTATTGTCTTTAACAGTAGCAACTGTGAAAAGCCAACAGTCACTGTATTTTTGTTTCATGTCCTTTCATGTTTTTATAACCATAATTATACACCTGAATATTTCAGTTCCTTTATATCCTCTTTTGACTTGTTCTCCTCTTGCCAATCAGGAAAGATCACGCCAGTGCAGGATACTCCCTTTGACCTGCGAAAGCCTAAAGAACTTGGGAAACATTTGCAGAAGTTTCAGCTGGATGGATTTGATCACAACTTTTGCTTGGTGCAGAGAAAAGAACCACATTTCTGTGCCAGGTAAACATTTGGTTTAATTCATTTATTCTCTATATGAATAGTTGTGAAAGTTTCATTCTAACTTTGCTTTATGCTTTTCTTTTTTGATTATTAATATACTGTTTTGTATTAAAAAAAACTACTAAATGCCAATTTAAATTCATTAAAATTAGAGTCCCTAACTCCAAAGGAAAAGAGGTAAGACAACAATACAGCAAAATCGTCAAGAGGATTAATTTTACTGTCAGAAAGCCAACAAGGTTATCAAGAGGTTAGAAGAATTATTTTTATCTGATAGAAGTCAGCAAAATCATAAATCTTGTATTTGCTATAATCACCACTATGACTTTATGTGAGAAAATGAGTATTCTGAACCAGATGTTAAATTTATCAAGAGCCGAGTCTGACATTATTCTGGTCCGCATTGAAATTGTCACCGGTGACAGCTCTGTCATATTACAATATAATTTGCTCCTGTTGGTTGAATGCTGTAAATGTACTGTAACATAGCCAAGATTATGTACTGAGAATGCTGTAAATGTACTGTAACATAGCCAAGCAATAGAGAGCTGCAGAGCTTTGGATTTCAAGGGGGAAAGGTATTTTGGAGGTTGCATGTGGATCCAGTCTGAATCCCTTAAACCAGTGGTGGCTAACCTTTTTGGGTTCCCATGCTGAAAATTGCGCGAGCTCACATACCAGCACCCAGAAGGCAATGTGCATGCCTCCACGCCCCCTGCGCATGCAAGACCCCCCCATGCATCTCCCACACACCACTGCCCCCCGTGCATGCGCACCAGATACCCGACAATCAGCTGTTGGGCAGGCAGCGCACACACATGCGCAGTGGGACTCTTCTGGGTGACCTCTCGTGTGCTGGCAGAAGTGGCTCTGCGGTGCCACTTCCGGCACGCGTGCCATAGGTTCGCCATCACAGCCTTAAACCAAATGCACTTTTCCTGCTTTTGAACAGCAGCCATCACATGAACCTCAGGAAAAGATGCCACTGTTTTAAGGAGTGCCAAGAAGTGCTACGCAAGGCTTTTATACTTTGAGCTCCGCCCCCCCCCCCTTACATACAAAACATGGCAGTTCTAATCTGCTTCATTTCCCTTTAGAATGTGGATTTTTAAAAAAATCAAGGAAGGTGGGAAACAGGTATTGTTTATTCTTATTTCTGTTCTTTTGATCACAATGATTTGGAATGTGTTAAAGCACTTTTTAAAAAAAAGATTCGGGATTTTGCTCATATTTTAACAATAAAACTAAGGATTATGTTGATTTTGAAAGAATAACTCCCATTTCATTCTGTTTGTGTATGATGAGATTCATACCTACTTTATAATGGCAACTGGCCTGTCTCTATTATTTAAGTAGAATGTAAGAATGATAGGCTGGAAGGGTCCCCAGAGGTTTTCTAGTCCAATTCCCTGCTGAAGGAAGGAGCCCCTTTTTTTTACACAAATATTTCTCCAGTCTGTTTTTGAAAACCTCTGGTGTTGGATCACCTACAGCTCAAAGAGGCAAGCTATTCCACTGATTGTTTGGACTGTCAGAAAATTTCTTACTTCTAGTATCTCTAAAAAGTTTCCACCAATAATTTCTTGTCTGCCCTCTGGTGTTTTGCAGAGTAAGTCAATCCCCTTTTCTCTTGCGACAGCTTCTGAAGTATTGGAAGATGTCCCTGCAGGGGTTTTCAAATTTGACCGCTGTAAGACTTGTGGACTTCAACTCCCAGAATTCCTCTTCCAGTCATGTTAGCTCAGGAATTCTGGGATTTGAAGTCCACAAGTCTTAAACTTGCCAAGTTTGAAGACCCGTAGACTAGACATACCTAGCTCCCTCAACCGTTCATTGTACTATTTAGCCTCAAGATCTTTATTGTCTTTGTTGCTTTTCTGTGCACTTTCCAGGATCTCAGCATCTTTTTTGTATTGTGGCAACCAAAACTGGACACAGTATTCCAAGTGTGGTATCACCAGTGTAGTATAAAGCGATACTATCACATCATTTATTTAAAATGAATATACAGCTGTATTTTTGAAGAAAATTTAATTCTTAAATAAATTTTATGATCTCTTAAAATTATGCAATATGGCAATGTTTGTGGCAACAAATCTAAGGTTGCAATCTTATATCAACTTATCTGAAAATAAGGTTCATAGATTATATTTTAAAGGGCAACTTTTATTTGAATTAGCACATCTTTCTCTAAAATTCAAGTATGAAGGAGTGACCTCATTTTATCCCCCCCAAAATAAAAGTTTTAACTAAGACTAAGGCAGTTAATATTTCTATTTAAAAAGTGTAACATTGAAGAATGTAGAAATGGAGTTTCTACAAGTAGGAGTATACGGAAAATATCGTAACCATCTACTGTCTTTTTTCAGAGCTTATCATCCCCCTAGTGGCCGAATGATAGAAGTTTATGCAACTCAACCTGGCATTCAGTTTTATACAGGAAATTTCCTGGATGGGACTCTAAAGGGTAAAGAGGGCCGTGTGTACTTCAAGCATTCTGGTTTCTGCCTTGAAACACAAAATTGGCCAAATGCCATGAATCAGGTACATTTTCTTAGATGTTACAAGACAATACATAAGTCTTGGACACCAATATATTGAAACCTTTGCCATTGGGGTATAATGGGTTGAGCTAATGAAGTATTGTTCCATTTGGAGCTAAGAGAAATCTTACATTGTCATATAATAGAATAATCTTTATATGCTACTACTCCCCCCAATTTTAAATTGCATTCAAAAAGTGATCCCTCCAGTTGAAATTTGATACAACCTTCAAAGGAGAACCAGGATTTCTCTATATCCTGACTAGCTCTTAATGCCAACAAATAGTAGATAGCCATCAAGCACTTATCCATTAAATGTGTCCATTTAGCCAATCTTTCCATGCAATTCAAGTTTGTTATTAAAAATGTAAAAAAATAAGGTTTTGTAAGAGATTACAAATATTCCAATCATGTAGGAAATGTTTTTCACTTCAGACAATAGAAAGATTGGAAAGATTTCTGAGCTCTGATCACAAGTATTCTGAAGCTGTTTTTAAATACAGATAATTGAGTACAAGTATGGTTTTTTTAAAGTGTTTTTTTTTCTTTATAGCCTAATTTTCCAGATGTCCTGCTGTACCCAGGAGATGAATACAATACCACAACATGTTTCAAGTTTTCTATATCTTAAATGAAATCTTGCTACAAGTTAATTTTGCAAAAATATTTTAAGTGATCAAAGAAGATTCTGAATATCCTAATTATAGCACAAATTTCATCAAAGAAAACCATTAAAAAGGTAGTATTTGGATAAGTCCCCGCTTCATAGTAGACAAGTAGCAACACTTAAGTTCACTCAACAAATTATCATCTCTATCTGCTGTTTCCACCTTTTGATAGATTTTATGTAATACTACACCATGTAAATAAGAAGTGAAGTCCTAATTTAAAATCATGAAGACTTTCATTAAGATGGTCTGTGGCAGTGTTCCTTGACGATGCAGGTATTACTGAGACATAATAATCTGATCGATTCCAAATATGGACTTCTGTTGAGCACTCTGGATAGTTAACATTGTCATCACTTCTTTAATTCAACCATTTTCTGGGACCACAAGGATGCCATACAGACTTAGGAAGAGGCAGAGCCAAAGATGTAATGTGAATATACTGATACAGTTCTGAATGGTTGCATATATCCTTAATGCACTGCTAGATTCTATGGCTAGATGTAAGTCAGCTCAAAACAGTTCAATACTACATTATAAACAATTTGCTTGCCATTTAACAGCTTATATCTGTTTTCCACGCAATCTATCCTGGGATAATTAGGAACAGTGATACTATAATGGTATATCTCACAAATTCATTTTTCCCTTTAAGATAGTTAAGGTAATTTAAATATGGCTTAATTTTCTACTTATAAATGGAACACAGTTCATATGGTGAATAGATACGCTGTAATATTACCTAGTATGCTTAAAGGGGCTTGAGTCTGATTTCTCATTAGACTTGCAATGAATCTTACAAAGCATATCAAATTCCAGCCATCAATGCATGATTAGGCCAGACCGCTTCCACAATAATCTCTAATCTTTTAAATGGTATTTCATAGATGGCATATCCCCAGAAGGGTTCAATATAAAGGCTGAGGGGAGAGAATCTACTACTTAAAAAGACCAATGGAATTCAGTCTCAATGCCAATCTTAAAATTGACTGAAGCCAATCTTGCCTTTCCCAAATTGGTAAATTGGCACTTTAAATTGAATTTATTTTGGCATACAATACTGAGGTCCAGATTTATCAATAGTGAGACTCCCATGGATTTTGCATCAGAAAGGGTGAGGCAGACCACTCTCACTTCAAGTGATTTATGAAGCAATTCATTTTTTAAGTTGAGATTTGCAGAACTCTTTTACATTAAAAAAAAAGCTTGATAGATATGGCAATATATATTCTATCACTATATGAATGTAGTATGAAATACTAGATTAAGTCTGCAATTAATGGCAGTTTTTAGGAACAAAGCTAAAATGGTCTATGCAATTAATAAAAGAAATGAATTTGTGCCAAAGTAACTAAAGCAGCTTTATTTCAATAAAAAAGTTTGTTCTCAACACAGAAGGGTACTTCACCTTTTATAATTTATTCAGCTTATAGGAATACAGTGGCCAATAGGAAGGACTATAAAAATGGCAAGGAAATGCAGTCAGACAACTGGGGAGATACTGTAGCCATGCTAAGCATTAAACTATACAGCATCCCTTAAAAGCATTGCAACTTATTTAATTCCCTTGCAAATTCCTGCCTTTTGCTGCAGAACCCCTGCAATCCTAAAAATGTATGAAATGTAGCTGAAGCCATGTGTCTCTCTGTAGAAATACTTGAATCAAAACATTGACACTGGGAGCATGCAGCATTTTGCCTTTAAACTCCAAAAGGTGCTTTGAGGCATATTGCTCCTTAAAGCAGATACAAGCAATCAAGGGAAACAGTATAGCTGTACTAAGATGTTGCATAATGTTACATGAATTGTTTTTAAATTTCTTCCACCAAGTAATACAAAATAATTTTAGTAATCTGGGTTTATTCCTCATGTTAAGAGGCTGTGTGTGTGTGGTACAGTGTGTGTAAGACTAGATCAGACTCAGATTTAAGTTTTCCCTTAGCCATAGAATCTCTCTGAGTGATTTTGGATCAATCACTTTCTTATTCCATTTATTTTACAAGGTTAATCTAGGGATGGGAGGCACCAATTTCATAATGAATTTCATGAAAAAAGGATACAAAGAAAATAAAATGTGGAATAATACTTGAGCCTATGTTTTTTCTGTAAAAGCAGTGTTTAACTGCTTAAATTCCTTACAATTTTGACATAACAGCAAAATTTCTCAGTGAATTCTGTACAAGGGACTAAATCTATTGTGTCTCAATATTTTGTTTTGGAGAATAATACTGCTCTTGCCCAAATTTCAAGATACCTTATCTGACAGAGAACAAGTACTTCATTAAATAATTCCAAACTGTAGCCAAGTTGCCATCTGAATTTATCTTGGGCTTGTCTTTAAATAATTAACTGTGCCTGGATAAGACACAATAGTATCCTGCAGTATGAATTAACAGACCAAATCAATCTATATTACAAAATCAGACAAGCAGCTTCCTTGACCCACCATTTCAAGTCGTTAGGATTGTGCCTAAACCACATAAGTCTTCTGCAGGCAGCTTAATAATAACGTTAATATACCCTTGCACAGCATTTGGATAACACTAAGTATCTGTTTGGAGTTTGCTTTTAACATGCACTTGAAATATTAACAGAAGCAAATAACATTATAACAAAGTTAGAAACACATTTTATTTCAAGTGCCCATAAAAAGACACTTTTCAGATCATAGGATGTTGTTACATACAAGAAATTGTGCACTATAGTCTACTGTAGCAGCTTTTACAGATTTTACTAAAAGATCCAGGTCCTTGCTGCATTAACCCTAGAAAAGATTTTCTTCAGCGAACTAAATCCTTTTATTTCTCAATAAAGAAATCCCTTAAAATTACATAAACAATACTTTTCCTAACACGTTCTTTGCCATTCTAATCCATTCTTTCAGGACTGATACTTCTTCGAGGGCTTCCTGATGGCGAACGACTGGAAAAAAGAAAAAGAAAAAAAAGGGGGGGGGGGGGCAAGGAGAAACCAAGTCACAAGAAGTTAATTTAATAAAAAGTTTGACTAGATTAATGGATTAGTGTTATAATCAGGCCCATTACTACTACATCTAGGGCAATAATAAATTTAATCCTAATGCTTAAATTATTTGGGTTATTCTTGTGAAAGAACATGTTAGAAATCAAGTGGAAACCATGTAAGTTTTAATGTGAAGTACCAAAACAAAATTTCCACAATTCATGCACCCCCTTTCCCACGAGAAAGTATTGCCAAGCTTTCAAAGCATTCAAGAAGCAGCATACTTACCGTGAGTTAATGGAGAATGGATATAAATGGCTCATATCAAAACTGAAAAAGCAAGACTAAAGATTAAATCAAGTAAAATGCTTTTAAATACATTTCTAATTTGGATAAAACATCTAGATTTATTTTGCTTGGATAACTGTCATTCAAAACAGAGATTTGATTATTCTGCACTATAGCAGACTTACCCGCAAAGTTTATTCAGGGCCAGTTATTAACTCTATACCTTCTCAGTCTGACTATGAGCCATTTAAGTTTATTGTCCATTAAAACAATCAAGATGTGCTCAATGATTTAACATATGTAAGAACTTCCTATTTTGGAATGAGGCTCTGAATACTAATTCACACTAATAAAACTTGCAAAATGTTACTGTTATGTATCTATAACTTTTTTTTTTAGATCAGGGGTATCAAACATGTGGGCCATGCCCAGCGCGGCCCTGCTAAGGCAAAAACAATTCTGATACATCATGTTATACAGCCCACAGTGCGATCAGGTTTGACACCCCTGAGTTAGATGAAGAACCTCACAATACAATATTCTGTATTCTCCACAGATCTATGCAGAGACCATTATAAATTACTTTTTCTTAGTTAACTGTAACAATATAAATAATTCAACCTATAGACTCAACTTACCTTCTCTTTAAAGATGGTGATCGTGATTTAGAGCGGCTGTTGAAATATCAATTAATCTTGATTAACATTTAACATACTAATTTACTTTACAGTCA